AACATAACACCCCTTCCTTCTAACAACACAAATTAGTTTGCTTTGAAAAATTATTAAAAATGAAACTTATCACATGCATTTTTTTGTTTGTAAGCCATATATTAATCTACAATTTGGTGCTAACGAAAATTTAGATTTATCAACATGAATGACTAGGAAACTGGGTCTTTGTGATTTTGCCTTCATGTTATTCAGGATTAGTCAGTGGTGTGTGTGTGTGTGTGTGTGTGTGTGCACACTGGGGTGGGGGACAACCCTATGTATTGTGAATGGGAAGATATTTAATATAGAGAATTAGTTTCACACAACCATTGGAAGAGCTGGGGAAGCACTGGTTAAGAAGGCAACATTAGGAGAACTGGAGGGACAGTGATGACAGGGAAACCGTTACTGATGATGTCAGCAGCTGTCCACAGACCTAGAGCCAAGGGAAGACATCAGTGAATTGCTCAGCTCCCCATCCAAGGTTCTTACAAGAGAAAAATACATTCTCCTTTTCTTTATCTTCCAAATCTCACATGAGTTCCTTTTCCTGACAGATTTAACCCGGACTCCTATTGGAAAGAGATTCATGAAAACGTCATTATAGTTTTCTCTTCTGTGACCTAGAGAAGAATACAGAAAGGGAAACTAAAAGAAGATGGGGTGCCTGAGGTTTAGATAGTTTGAAATGAGCTGGTGGAAGAGAATCAGCCTGTCTACATCTCTGATCTGCTACTGTCTCCTCAATCTTTAGATCCATTTCCAACACAAACCCTACAGTGCCCTCCTTAGGGATACTTGAAAGCCTGCTTGCATTTTACTTCTTTCAAAACAAGTGAATTAGAAGTCCCTCTCCTCCTCTTCTGCAAAATTGCACAAGGCAACTATGGGAGATAAGTAAGATTTTTCTAGAATCACATGAGGGCCCCCAAACTAAAACAATATGAAACTCTTCTATTGAATATGGCTGCTTCAAATTGAATGTGTCTCTCAGATGATGAGACAACTTCTTAGAGGAAGATGTATTTGAAAATAATTACTATTCATCATTCTCATCTAACAGAACTATTTTCTGGCCCCACCTGGGTTTCCAACCTTAGAAACTACTACTCTGTCCTTGCAGAGGAATTACTAAGGTAGTAGGAGTTTCATTTATTTGCTTTTCTGTGTATCTGAATATCCTGACAATCTAATCTCCAGAGAGTTCTAGTAACCAGGCAACACAAGTCATGCTCCAATTGTGAAGTCCTCAATCCACTTTTACTGTGCTATTCTAATTCAAAACAAGAATACCAAGGGTAGACTGCAGAAATTAGATTTGGATGTTTATTACTACGAGCAGATAATTGGGTCCTGTCCCTCTTATTACTGATTAGAAATTCTGAGATAAGTGTTTTTAAAAAGACTAGAACAACAAATCTCACCTAAGAATAAGATCAAAGCAGTAACCTGTTTTTCTTACAGAAATAAGAAAGTAGAAAGAGAAGGCTTTGGTCTGACAACAGTTTATTTTAACCCAGACACTTTCTCCATTTGTGATTTAGTCTCACTTGAGTTTTCAGAAATATTGCCAATTCGGATGGGTTTCCTGGGCGGGGACTTAATGGACAAGGTTAAACACAGCTGTTCTGGTGCCTGAAATCCTTAAGAGTCTGGCAGCATCTGAGCTAGTAAAATAAACTCAAAAAGGACTGTCTGCCCCAGTGGTTCTAAAGACAAAATGAGCATAAATGAACATGGAGTCAACCTGTCTCTGGGCCAAGGTCAGAGGCAACCCAAGGACATCAATTTACAGCAGAAGAACACTCTGTACCATTTACTATGAGACAGTAGAAAATTGGACATTTTGGTGTTTAATCATCAGCCTATAACAAAGGAAAGTGTTTCAGATTAGTACTGTCTATATCAGTAATTTTTTATATAATAAATTGCTTCATTTACTAGGAATTTGGCTATCAGGTTACAGATGATAAAAATGGCACTCAAATACAAGATCAAATCACATTTAAAATTCCTTTCTATTAGCTAAAACACAGTCTTAACTGCCCAGGTTAAAGCATTAATGGTTTTCCCAAACAGTGCCTCTGTATCTCTAGTGATTTACAAAGTACTTTTATTCACGTCATCTCATTGCAGTGGTGTGTACACCCTTATTACACAGATGGGTCAAACTAAAAGTAGTTTCATTTGTTAGTTTTAAGTATCTTCCTTCCCCCTCTGGGCTGCATTAGTTTCCGTGTAGCCTGACAGGCGTATTGTCATTTGGCTCTTCCAGGTAAATGACACCTCAAGAGAAGTCAAAGGACTAGAACTATCTTCATTCAAACAATTTAGACAACTTAGACAAGAGTCTATCAATGTCCTTGGGTTTCAGCTTATTCATACATATGCTCTAAATGCTATAATCCTCACTGACTAATAACAAATGATAAGAAAGAGAAGGCATGGATGTGGGACTTAAATACACAGCGGTAGGAATATAAATGAGCATGACTTTTTGTTAGCATTACACAATAAAATTTAAAATGTATATACATTTTATACAAAATTCTATATCTGAGAGTCTATTCAATTAATTATAAACATATGCAAAGATATACAAAGATAATCATCATAATTAGAAACAAGCATAATGACTGCTAAGATTAAACTAGTTAAAACAGATATGGAATATTCATGCAAAAAAACTATGCATCTACTAAAAAAAATCATATAGATTTATATTGGGTCACCAGGAAAGTCATGACACATGTTTACATAGAAAAATACGTCATGACTTTCCCAACAATCTAATATTTGTTCACTGGAGTAGAAGCCCCGTGACATGATTTTGAGACAAAAAGAATTACCAAACAGTATGATTGGAATAATCCTATTTATGTGTAAATCAAATAAATCCCAGATCCACTGTGGTTCAATCTCAGCACAGTGTCACAGTCACAGAAACAGCCCAGCAAACAAAAGGCATTACAAAGTAATTTCAATCTTTGCTCTCAATTTTCAAAAAAAAAAAAAAAAATTAGAGAGCATACAATTCCTAACCCACAATACCACATCTTAAAATATCCTCTGTATACCAGTTGTTTCATCTTACTCTCTAACTCTTACATTATAATAGCTCCTAAAGGATCTTTCTTTCCGATATCCTTTTCCACTCTCAACCAAAAACTTCACAATAAACCAATTAACCAACTACTTCTCTTGTGTTCCTCCATCTCTTTTGTTTTTTCTTTACTGATTAAAAATCTGAATGATCAGATAGAGAAGGAAGAAAATGTTAAGCAAACAAAATTTTCTTCACAGGGAGTTGGAGAAAAACAGATTGACTATGCATATACTGCGTTGTCTTAACCTTGTAGCAAATATACAACTATTATACTCATCTCTCCTGTGTGTATATATAAAACTGTCTGCAAGATGTTGACAAAATTCTTGACAATTATCTCAGTTGGGATTTCCCAGTGAATTTTGCATTTACCTTTATATCTCTCCATATATCTCTGAATTATTCATGATGAACACGTTTTGTTCTAGTTTGAGATGAGATATAATCTCATATCATCATGTAAAAAAAAAAGGAGGTTGTGATGATGTTCACAAGGAATAATAGATGTGAAAAAACACATAATTTAAGTACAAAATATATGTATTTCCAATAAATAACAGTTGAACTGCCTCAACAGTCTGTTTTTAACATCAATAGCCTCCTTTATTTTGGAAATTATTTTAATATAACCCACATGTTAGAGTTGGTTAGTTTCTTATCAACGGTTGAACACTCCCCTATGTTGTTTGATTTGTTATTTTACTACCTGCTTAATTCATGAGCCCTCTGGGTTGTGACTAGTATAGTATTTAATGACTTGCAAAAATATGTTAAACATTTCAAACATTGTAATCTTTTTCATTCATTTCCTCTGGAAGCCATCATTTTAAAGGTATCTTTGGTGAAGAAGGAGTTAGTGTAAGTGTATTTGTATCTGTTTTGATCTCTCCACCCTCACATGTCACTGTACCACTTCCTGAATACAGTATATAGCATTTACTTATTTTTATGATACATGAACAAGACAAATTTCTCTCAAAGTCAAAATGCCTGCCTATACAGATCCCAATATTCTGACTCATGAATCTTTTCTTAACTGGGGGAATTCTAGAGAGAAGTTAGCGACATGTTACTAGAGGAGTCAGTCACACAACTCCTGAAAGAAAGTGCCAAAGGACAAGTGCTCATGGTTCCTGAGAAAGGAGATTTTTTGTTACTCAGACTCCCTATCTAGAGAAGCAAAATGGCACCCTGGCTTAAGGCTGGAAATTCCATCTTGCAAATATCAAAAGGGACAGTTTGCCACCTAACTATATTTAACACCTCAGTGTTCCTTCAACATTATAATGAAGTAACTAGACCAAACCTAGTCATAGACAACTTAAAGCAGGTCTCTTTGCAAGGAGAAAAGAAATAACTGCTGTCCAAAAATCTGAAAGGACCCTGAAAATTGAAAATGTAATTGGAAGCAGGCTTTAATAGGTTAGCTATAGAACAGAACATTCAGAGAGGAGAAATACCCAAAGTAAGTGAAAAATGAAGAAATTTTTGCCCCACAAACTTGGTTATCAGGGTAAGACCATATATTTCAGTGATATTATGTAAATGTTAAGTGACATTTAAATAAACATGTCAGAGAAGATCTGTTTGTTTTCTTTTTATTCTATAGAAGCTTATCTTTTTGTTCTTCAGTTACTTGAATAGCTCCCAGTTTTGTAACATGGGTAATTAACCCTCATTGAACTAAAATGGCAGTAATGGTGTCCCTTTATTTCTCACTTTTTAGAATGACCTGGGAAATATTGCTTCATTTTCTAATAGGAAATAGATCAACTTGCACAGAAGTGTAGGCTCTATCACTCCTGAAGGACAAGCTCAATGGAATCGTCATTTCCCCAGGGAAGCCTTTCCTGACTTTCCTCATTAAATGATTCTCCTTTTATGTAATTTTACCTATACTACTTCAGCATAGCCTTATCACAGTTGTGACTTTACATCTACATTGCTATTCTTTGTTAAATATTTCAGTTCTACTCTATATCTTAAGCAACATAGTGGCAATTAAACTATTTAATTTCTACAATGCAATAGACACTAGAATGGTTTTGGACACATCCTTTTTGGGAAGGCCTATCCCAGGAACTGATTGGTTATTTAGCAAAAGAAACCATCTCTTTGAATGGCAACAATAAGGGCCTCTAATTTATTATGGAAGCTATCTCAATTGAGCAAGAGAAAGGAAATGACCTTCCTTAAACAAACCATAGAAGTCTGGAAAGGACTCTGGCAAAGTAAAGAGTTTCACCAAGCCCCACCATCATGTTCCTGAGAGTATACAGTGTCTACCAATAAGAGGAGGCAACATTCTAGAATCAAACCAATACATAAATGGGGCTTCAGCTCTCTGCCTGCCTTCCTTACTAAGGGAACATAATAGTTTCTGGTCACTCACTCCAGAGGGGCCTCAAATCCAGTCGTTAATACCTATTGTATTTACTCCTACCTTTCATTCACAGAGTGAGCTTGCCCTGTGGGAGATTAGCACCACATGAAAATCACCAGGTGAAGGAATTATCATCCTTAAAACTCAAAGGGCCCTAGTCAGTTGGCTATTACCTTGTGCCTGAATACAAGGCAGACTATCTTCACTTGACAATTTCTGGACTATACCCTGACACCTTTGACTACCTTAGGAAAAGGTAGCCTCTATCCCTGTATTTCCAGCAATACTAGTCTCTACTAGGAGTTGTTTTTTTCCCCTTTACCACCATTGTGCACCATGTGACTCGGAACCAGACTGAATTTTCCTCTTGCTAACACACCTCATTGATGCCAGGAATCAAGACAAGGATGACATTAAAGCTGAAAGGACAGACTGAATGTCTTGACTTTCTGTTGTTATAGCCATGTAGGGACTTGAGTACCACACCCTAGGAACTTCCAGTGCAAGTTATTTCCACCTAAAACTAGGTAGAGAAATACTGTTGTTATGTAATAAAGACCAAAAGATAACTAATCCATTAAGCTCAGTTTACCTCTCATCAGTGCCACCAAGAATTCTC